ATTAAACGTACTTTTAATTTTGTACTTAAATAGTGATAAATAAATTAACAATAAATTATCGTTTATATTATTATTTATTTATACCAATAAAAGAGCTGTTGGTAACTATTAAACGTACTTTTAATTTTGTACTTAAATAGTGATAAATAAATTAACAATAAATTATCGTTTATATTATTATTTATTTATACCAATAAAAGAGCTGTTGGTAACTATTAAACGTACTTTTAATTTTGTACTTAAATAGTGATAAATAAATTAACAATAAATTATCGTTTCCTAAATGCTTCTAGTAAGGCTTTTGTTGCAAATATGCTAATTCCTGGGCTGTTATGCTGCCTTGATTATGCTCGTCTTCAAATTTAAAAGATCTGTCCCAACCACCCCCACTTCCATGAGGACTTTCCCAACCTCCCATGTTTGAGTTCCATCCTTGATTTGAACCTCCACCTGAGTTACCTTTGAAAAACGCCGCTATACCACCCTACAATTGATATTTATATCATCTAAAGGATTCTTTTTTGTAAATGGGGAAACTTTTTAGGATATGAATTAAATATTTTTAATTATCTGTTAGGTTCCTTCGTAAAGGAAACATCGTAATAGTTTAATAATAGTAATATTAGTTGTAGTTTCCAACTATTTAACTTACCCCTGAACTTCCAAATAAACTTTGCACACCCAAAACTGTAGCAAGAATGAAAGCGAGTTTTGCGGCCAATAAAGCCTTAAGTGCAATACCTCCAACTATTGCAATTGCAGGTCCGTAGGACATGAGTTTGATTGCAAGAATTTTCAATATCAGATCGAAAATTTGTCTCTTCTTTTTCTTCTTACCGCGCGCTTCTAAAATTGTAAAATAAAAATAATAACAATTGCAATAAGATCTAGTTTTGTTTTGCTACCTTCTCCGGAAATAGCAGCAGAAGTTTCTGGAAAATCGGGAAATTCTACCTTTATGGTGCGCCCCGATATGAATTCGCTTGTAGCATCAAAAATCATTTCTACAAGTTTGAAAAATTTTTGATTTGGGTCTGCAGGTAGTTGCACTTCCTCAGTTTTTCTTGACTCTTCGCCGTTACTTAAAAATGTAAATTCAATTATTCATAAGTAATTGTTGTTAACCAAAAGTAAGTGATTTGAATTTGGGCTTTCTATAAAGTGTAAGTGCCATCTATAATCTTAAAAAGCACATCAAATGAAAAGGAGGCTATAAGGAAAAGCATGACAGACTTTCCAGTTTATAACATAAACAAGTGATGGCACTAGGAGTTGCAAAATTAATTATTCATATTTACTTTAATCGGACGCTTGCAAATCATTTTTGATAATGAAAACGGGGAAAGTAAAATTAAAAAAGGCTTTTAAAATTTCAAACATTTAAAATTTAACGTTTGTTATAGGCCTCATAATTAATTTATATTTTGAAACATCTATTGTACGGTATATCTATTTGCGCTCATTTATTATTGCAAATATGATACTTAAAACACAAAGCAGTTATTAACACATTATTAAAAATTTAATTCAAAAATAGATTTTGTGGAAATGTATACAGGCTTATGTTATTCGCGTTATTCGACACGAAAGATTACAGATAAGTAGATTTATAAAAATTTTTGTTGTGGACGTAAATAGAGATGTGCCGTAAGTGGTACATTATAAAATTATTTTCACAATATACAAGGTGTTAAAAGAAACAGAAAACGTATCAAACTGATCAAAATAACAGCGAGTTTCATAAAAGTTTGCCTCACCTAAACCTTAAGGATTTTAAAATATTTTGAATTTTGGGAAATTGTAGTAACAACTTTAACTTTTAAATTCTCAACATATATTTCCGCTTTTAAAATCAAATTTAAATTGAAGCCTGGTAATTGATTAAGTTTTCTGTCGCAATTGTAGAAAATTCGCTAACTTATACAGGGTGTCCAAAAAATATGATTAAATAAATACGACTATTAAACGGTAATAACTTGTTGGGTTAAAATGTAACACCCTGTATTTTAGGTATGTAAATAGCAGATGTAGAATTCTCTTTTCATTACTATTATACCCCCCCTATAGCTAACTGTTGTTTTTATGAAAAACGCGCATTTTTAGAACGTAAAGCGATTTCAACGAATTTAATATAATTTATCAAGTCGGGTATGACATTTTAACAGGCCAGAATTACATAAAATACAGCTGGTTTAAACCAAAAACATTTGAATAAATCACTTAAGGCCCTATATCAGTCACTTCTAGGCAAATGATATTTTTTTAAACCTTACTAGTTCTTCGCCCTGGCCCCGGCCATTTTTATTGCTCCCCTATGACGTAGTGTCGGCCATCATTCTTTCCTAATTGTTGCAGTTGTCGGCCATCATTCTTTTTCAATTGTTGTCGCATTGTTACTGATGTCGGCCATTATGACGTAATGTCGGCCATCATTCTTTTCTAATTGTTGCAGTTGTCGGCCATCATTCTTTTTCAATTGTTGTCGCATTGTTACTGATGTCGGCCATTATGGTTTTTTAATAGATGTATAGTAGCCAATGATAATACTACTTTGCCCTGTGCTGACAGCACTCATAATTTCTTTTATGTATAACATTAATTGGATTACTCCTAATGTATACAAGTTAGAAGAGTGATCGAAGTCTCAAATCAAAGCTCTCATTATGATATTCACAAGTACTAAGGGCTTTTATTGAATGTATTTTTGGTCTGTTTTATTAAAAAAAACGTATTAATAAATTCCAGCCACATGACAGCGTATTCCATTAAAAAAAACAAAACATTGATACGTTTTGTGCTTTTTGGACACCCTGTATATTATAGAAATAATTTTAAAATTTAATACTCATAGACCCCTATCTACCTCCTCAATAACAGTTTTTAAAAATCTACGAACACTAACGTGAATGACCCTGTACATACATATAGAAAAGAATAAACTAACTGATAGGTGCATCAACGCATAGCCCAAACCCCTAGGTCTAGAGACTTAAAACTTTGCACAAACGTTCTTTATAGAACGTAAGCGAGCACTAAGAAAGGATTTTTTAAAATTAAACCTTAAAGGGGTGAAAAGAGGGTTATCAAACAAAGTATAACCGCTGAGTCAGGAAGCTTAAAATTTTTCACAAAGGGTCCTTATACAACGGTATAAAATCAGTTTTTAAAATACCACACCATCCCTAAAAGCGTAAAATTGGATTTTACGATACAATCGAATTTCATGCGGGCGAAGTTGCAAAGTTGAATACATAGAGTGCTTAACTTCCGGGTTCCGTGTAAAAGACTGTATCGTCTCCAAACGTTTTTAAAGTTGTTAAAATTGCTACTTGCATAAAAATTCACTCTTTAAAAAATGCCGCTACTTTCTTATAATTGTTGCAGTTATTAAGTAATAATAATTGTTTGAACACATTTTTGATCATTTAATAAATATAGCATGGATCAAGGAATTGAAGCACTTTTCTTCAACAAGGATTTTTTTGTTTTTACCACTAAAAAGTTACATTGGACTTTTTATCATACACGCCTTCTTACAAAAGATTCCGAAGGTGATTTCTTATTTTACTGCACTATTACTAAAAACGAAAACGTAAAATGAAAATAAAAATTCAAATGAAATCCAAAGTTTAAGAATCTGAATTCTACTTTTCGGTTAATCTCTTAATATATTTAAATGTTTATAATTTTTACCTCACTGCTGATAATCCCGGTAGGATGTCTAGAGATCTGATTTTAGAAACTCGTCGTATAATGGAGAGGGTTTCTTCCGCTGCGCAGCTTAGAAAACTCATTATATCCTTTGACGAGATCGAACATTTCATGACAAAATTCGGAGTTCTTCTGACTATTTCATTCTAAAACAAGTCAAAATACAAAATTTCAATTAAAATAACATTTATTTTACAAGAAATAATTAATGACAAATAATTAAATTTCAGTAGGATTTCCGACTCCAACCTCATCAATGCAATAAATTATGTTCGATGAAAATTTCTCCTTTAGGTGCTGTCAAAAATTTTAATTTACCGATGTTGTTAAGCCTACCACTAACCCTTAAATCACGCAGTCTTTTGACTGCGAAACAGAAATTAGTTAGTGACCATATTCAATGTTAGAGCATATCTCGAGTTAGAGAAGTTCGGCTTAAAGGGTTTTGAACAAATGTAAAACTGCATCTATGCCAAGGGAATAAAATAAAAAAAAATCAAGTTCCAAAAATTATATCTAATAAGTGAAGAGTGACTTCAATTTTAAAAAACCTGACTAACTTTGAGGGACGCATTATAATCTGAATAAAGTGACATTTTGTTTTCTTATAGCAATTTATCTTATTAATTTGCCAATTGAATGGATAATTATTTAATGAATAAATTAACACTTAAATTACTTAATGGAGCTAATAGAAAGACACTGTGCTGCAAGATGAAGTACTTACTCAGGTGAAATTTATACATTTAAAGTAAACGAAACTAGAACTTTCTTCAATTAAGAACAATTTCCAATGTTTACCTCTTAATGGTTGTATTTTACAAGTAGTCGAATTGTAAATTATTCAAAATTATTGTGATAAAAGGCGAATGTGGAGTTTACAAAAGCCACCTTGAACTTGACTGCATAATGTATCAAACTTTGACACTAACGTTAACTTTCCATTCTGACAAACTTTACAGGAAATGTTCCGGTTTCGTGTGACAAAATTAAAAATTTAACTTTGGCTATGGTTAAGTGAAGTTTCTCTGATTTCAAATTTCATTTTACTATTCAGTAATAGTATTCCACCTAAGATCAAGAGAACAAAACGAGTAAGGGGCCCTTTTAGTTATGACTTATTAAAACGCTTTTGAAATGAAACTTCTTTAATGACGTTATAAAAGGGACTTTACTAAGGTATAAAACCGAAAAGTGTAACGTCACGCGTCACAGCGTCACGCGCCACGTGTGATGTCCAAAAGGAGTCATTTTAAAAGGCTTCAGGGGCTAACCTGTTGGAAGCAACCGATAATCCGAAAACTGCCATTTGGACAAATTGTCAGAAGATGACGCCTACGCTATACTTTATACGTATTGCATATATGCGTTTGTGTTTGTTTGTTTTGATTTGTAATTCCTTTACGAAGTTTTGTATGGTGTATGCGTAGTTTTTAACAAAACTAAATCAAAATTCCATATTCGTCCGCTCGTAATAAAATTGTATTTTTCTGATGTTTAGCAATTGGCTAACTAATACAATAGTTTAACCCAATTTTTTTTTAAATAATTCTATAATATNTCTATGAAGCACTTTTGATTTCCATATTTCAGTTTTGAATTTTTCTTTCATAATTTTGTCCTCAGGATTAAAATCTGCATCACTAAGGTGATAGTGATGTACCAGAGGTTGAAATAGCACAGATTGAATTACGTAATGGATTATCAGCATTTCTTGCTCTATATAATCTCAAATTAATAACCTGTTTGTAATGTAGATTTTTAATATCAATTATTCTTCTTCCTCCTAACTGTCTTTTAATTGTAAACTATTCAACAGTAGAGTTTATGTGATGCATGTTGTATTTTTTGCACTTAGTTCTAGTTAGCCTATTAAGTGACTGTAAATCAATATCAGACCAACGAATTATCCCAAAGGAGTAAATGGATACCGGTATAGAATATTTGTTAATGACTTTGACTTTATTATTATTGCTATCAAAATTATACGGGGTTCGACTTGCAGAACCCAAATTTGATAATTTTATCTACATATAATCAACCCAATCCAATATATTGGCGAGAAAGCTGCTGAGGGATGAGTGGCAAGAAGGTTGCTATAAATATCATGTCGCTAACGTAAGATATACTAAATATCACGTATCCTGATCACTATCACTGTTTATTAAGCTTAAGACTAAAAATGAAAAAATATAGTCTAAAAAATCTAAAAACACGCTTTAATAGCAAATCGAATTAAAAAACAGAAAATAATTTTTAGCTACTGATATTTTATTCAACAGCCATAGGAAGTCTACTAAATGAATATAGTTCAATAATATTCAATAATTCTAAAATAAAAAGAATGTGCTAAAAAACAAACTAATTTCATTATAAAAATAACGTGGGGTGCTTGATATTTGTGGTAAATATATCAGTAGTGTCTAATCGTAAAAGTAGAGTTCATCATCATCATAAGGTCATCAGTCCTAAGACTGGTTGGGCACGTACCTCCACTCTTTCCTATCCTGAGCTAAACTTCGCATTTTCCTAAAACTAGAACAACCCATATCCTTAACTATTTGCGAAGAGTAATCTAATCTAGGTCTACCTCTACCCCTCCTAACTCCTGTTTCTGCCTCTAATATGTCTCTGACTAGACCTTCATGCCTGAGAA